CTCTCTCTAGATACTTGTCATGTTTTAAGCAGACTTTGAAGAATTTCTAACTAACAAGCTGAATGCTTGGAAAAATGTTGACTAACAGTTACAAGGGTGGAAAATTTCCATTTACTTGTATGGCATAAACATACACTTTCCCTCTGCAAACACAGACCAGGAAGCAGAGAAAAATCACTTCTGAGATGTACAAGTAGTTAAGATTCAGTTTTGAGCCAGGATGTCACTACAATACAAATATCTGTCTCCAAGGCATGAGGGAGACCCTATCAGCTCCCTTCATGTCAGCTACAGGATCGTAACAGGGTAAGTAGATTTTGCCACCTTATTTGAAATTCAACCAGCATTGAAAATGCATCCTGTCACGAACCTATAACATCTTGCCCCCTCATTGTTTTAGTTGGCTCTCCTTACATGTGTCATCACTTCCACCCCTACTTCAGTTAACAGGTACACTTCTTTCACTCCAGCTAGCAAAGCTCATGCAGCTGGGCAGGGGAAAACTCTTCTCTTGCATGCCTGGGAATGGGATTCAGTTGTATTTTGTTGCAGAGTTGAAGTTGTACAATGCAGCTGGCTTATCTATATACCTAGTTTGTGTAGAGGGATGGAGAGAAAAAGGGAAATCCTTCTAATCACGTCATCACAACAAGTCAGACACACAGGATTTAAAAAGCCAAATTTAGGTATTATCAGTAGAAACACTTGCCACTGCTGCCCCACTGAGCCTGTCTTATACACTGTACCAAATCCGTCTCAACAAAATGCTGCATTGCATCACCTCACAAGACAGGAAGATCCTAAAAATCAGGATTTTGCAGGATGAGCTTGCACAAAATGTGTGTGCAAAACTGCCCTCTGCTGTTTAGATTAAGACCTGCACAGACAAATGATGCGTGACCAAATCAGTTTTGAGCTACAAGGGTCCAAGATGCAAAGAGGCAAAACTATCTGACTTCATCTGTTTTCTGCCTCCATGCACACTAGGAATTTCATACGTGAACACCACTCACAACTGTCTTGCAGCATGGACCATCCCGACAGATCTGTAGGCTGTAGCAACATTGTACCAGTTGCAACACTCTGTTAAGCAACTCTCCCACGATGGGTGCGCATCACCAGACATCTTCTCACCCCAAAGATGAGTTGAGAACACCCTCAGGGTGCAAGGGAAATGATGTAGTTGCGGGTGAGCACTCCAGGACATACATGCAGGACATGTTAAATCAAGGCCTGAGCTTTACACAACAGGAACAGAAACCGTATGCCTGGAATCAAAAGCTTATAGCACAGAGGCCTTTATGACTTCAGGATTACTAAGTTGCAGCGATGATCAGAAAACAGGGTAGCAAGCTCATCAAAAGATGTCCAGTAAATATTCTGTAAAACTAGCCCCTGCTGCAAGGAAAGAAGAGAGAACCTGGGGTTTTTTTCCACGAACACATGGAAATCACTATATTTTGAAAAAGCTGCCCATTATCTACTGCCAGTATGCTGGACACTTTGGTACAGAAACACCACAAAAGGGTCAGCTGTTTTCTATGGCTTCACTCACACATTCATACATGGATGTGGCAAATTCTGCCCTCTGAGAACAGCATCAGATATCCACATCTTCTTTGGGAAGTTCTAGTTTGGTACAAATGCAGAAAACAAGTACAGATACCCACACCAGTTCAATTTCCGGAGTGCCTCCAACAAAAGCTAGCCCAGTCCTCGTGAATTAAGCACAAGTTTCAGCTCTTTGCAACAGGCTTTTGGTCAGTGCATAAAGAACACTGTAAGCTATGCTGGTCAGTGGAAACACACAAACTAAAAACCAAACCAAAACTTGGGTACAACAGAAGCCTTGAAGAATACTTTTTTTTTTCCACAACAGCCCTTTTCATATCCATACATTTAAATACACAGAAGCATGGGTGTACTGTACAACATGCCTTTGAAACCATCACTGAAAGCACTTAGTGACCACTTCAAAGCTTCCCTTGATGTTTAACTCATGTTAACTGTAACACAACAGTCATGTAGGGCCACTGTTCAGCCTAGGGGACTTTAAACACACCATCAACAGATGTACAAATGAAATTTTAGAGATTCTTCTCAGTGTATAAATAGCTAGAGCTTTACTTTGATGACGGCTGGCTGGCCTCCTACACAGCAGGCCTGGGACTTCTCTGTTTTTCAAGTTAAGGGCAACAATAATATTCTGTCAGCCCCCAGGAAAAGGAAATTAATGCCAGATGATTCGGTGTGTGCTTGATCACTCTGGTTTTGGATTTGATTCCATTATCTAGAAAGCTTAATGGTGAAACACCAAAGGTAGTCCTGCATGATAATGAAACTAGCTGGGAGTTTTTTCTATAAAAGCTGCCTGAGAAGCTCATAACCAATGACAGAAGACTTCCCAGCATAAAACTAACAGACCTCTCATATTCTTTATGGAAAATCCTTTTAGTGCTGAAAACAAGTGCCTTATTCTTTGAGAACCACAGAAAAGAAGATGGCTCTTTCTGGGAGAAAGATTAGTAGTTTAACCTGCAGTAAAATAAGATTATAGATCTTATTCACCAGCAGCTGTGAGCTCAGTAGCAGCAAATACACAACTGGAACGGCTCACTTTCACGTCTTCTTAATTTGCACAGGTGAAAAGAAATACAGTACTACACAGAGCTAAGGTAATGGCATTACTGCTGCTGATGCAGTACCATCAATCACTACCACCACCCTTCTCATGACCCGTACTTTGCTTGTGTCTGAAACACCTGTGGGCTGTGCATGCTAGCTACACCACTGCCAGCCTGCCACTGTTGGAGCAACAGCAAATTCCCATTCTAGACAACATCTTCCAAGTCTTCAGTTTGTAAGGTATTAGCTTCACTGGGAGATTTGGAGAGAAAAAAAAATTCAAGCCTTATTAAAAGGATTTATCATTCCCACTCTATTAGCCAAGGCACTCAAAACAGGTATCAGAGCTTGCTCTGGCATACTAACCAGGTACTTCTGGGTTATTAAGTAGGAGAATAAATTTTCATTTAAGGTTACATTTAAACCTATGCTATCTAAAATTTTGTTTGTATCTGACTTTGCAGGATCAAGAAAACTAAAAAGGGTTAGGGCAATATGTGTGTCTGTGATGCTTATTAAAACAAATAACATTTATAGACATAATCAGAGTATCACCAAGCCTTCCATCAAGATCAGAATTGACACCCAGGCTTGCTAAAACACACTTAGTTCAGAAGAGATTTGTTGTAAGCTAAAAGGTGAATTCAAATTGCCATCATTACACCAAAGAGCATAGAAAATTGTTCAGGTTTGAAGGAAGGGTGCTACTTTTGTCTTATGCTGTTTGGGTTTGTTTTTCAAGGCAGGATGGAAGAGTTTGATCTACCTTAAGACAATGTTAAAAGCTGAACTAAAAAGATATACTGAAGTGACCACCACCAGCAAGGACAGCAGGTAAATATGCTAACAGTTCTGTCAACATAACCTATGAATTCCTACTTTTTACTTATAAGAGTTAGAAAAGAAAAACTCCTCCAAAAAGCCTCATTAAAAGCATAATCTTCTGCAATTTCACAGTAAGTGCAAAATAACTCTGTCCTTCTAAAATAAATTAAAAGAGCACCTCATCCATTGTCACCTGAAGAATATGGCTATTAAGTTTTACTTTTACCTTATGCTACCTGAACAATTCGAGGACAACGACTAAACTACAGCCAGCTGTTCAAGAAATTTTTGTTCACACCAGACATTAACTTCAGTATTTGTCGCATTACAGAATGATTCAATAGCACCTCAAATCTTTGGAAATCATGTTTTCAAGGGGTTAAGGGAAATTACTCTTCCATGGCAAATTATCTAAGCAGACTGACTCAGTAAGAAACATTTCTACACCGAAACTCAGGTATTTGCTGCTAGGTCACAATCAGCTATTCACTTAACCTCTGAAAAATCCTGTATGAGGCAATTTCTGAACTGTTGAGGAGAATCTGCCTTTACAGAAACTTATACCAGGCTGAAATGAGACAGAGACAGATGAGAATGTTGGCTAAAGTGCTCTCAAAGTACCTCACTTAGACTATGCCACCTTGTACCTTACCCATTAATTTATCAGCATCATTAGTACAAACTGTCAGCTGATCTGAAAACTGACACTTCAAAGCATTCTCCTCAAGCTGAAAATCAGTCACCATGCCAAAAAGATAAAGCTACATTTTTAATTGTTTCTTCTGCCACCTGAGTGCTGATAGCTCAAACCCAGAAAACAGCAAAAGCCAATCTGTTTTGACATTTAGAAGATCCTATCCATGAAAAACTTGCTTTCACAAGTCCACTTCTGCTACTCACTTGAGTCTGTATATTATTTGCCTCCTTTGCACTAGCAGAGGAAAACTCACCACACCACACCAAAATTTTACAACATCTAATTCCATTAGCTTTAACTATTTACCCCAGGGATATCATTGTCTTACCTTATCAGTGCAATTTTTTCCTTAAGGCAAATGCCTTAAAAAGAATATTAAGAACCATTTTCTACGTTCTTGAAGACTAGAGACTGAAGTGTTAACTGTATATCTTGCAAAAAAGTTTCAAGCTTTCAAAAAACCACCTTTGTGCTCTTACAACCTGCCCCAGGTTCTATTCCAAACAGCTTTGTTTCAGACACCTGCCATTAACAGAGCTTTCATGTTTGCCAGATAGTTTTGACTTGCATCATTTTACATGTTATTGTTCCTGACAGAAATGGATTTGTCACTCTTTCTGCAGCCAGCATCTATTACCACTGTGATTTGCTTGTCTTTCTAAGGTGATCTGTTACTGTTTAATGATCATATGTTTATTTTTTCAGGAAATGACACAAGGTTTTAAGCTTAATTAAAAGCATTGGAAGACCAGCCATAACATTAAAAATAAATTTTAATGTTGCAATTTTTAGATCATTTGCTCTGACACCCAAATATTCTGAAATTTAAAGTAGTACTATAGGGACACACAAGTGCAGATAAATCTTTATTGCCATAACTTTGTTTTTTTCAAAAATGAGCATTGGGTTTTCAATAGGTCGTAGTTTTATGTCTTATATGTACAACATTACAACTGCGTATTTTAATAATAATGAAGTGATACTTTGATAACTCAACACAGTGTATTTATAAAATGAATTCTTATCAAAATACACTTTTCACTGGGATAATAAATAAAATCCTGCGAAACCCACCTACACAAAGTTAATTTTAACTCTGGTAGAACCCGATGTGGTACACAGTCCATTAACTACTATGTTTGCCCCTTTATCCCCCTACTGATGCTCATCTTCTGGGGTAAGAAAACTTTTTTTCCCCCCGTTGTGGTGTGACCTCATTCAACATCATCTTCAGCCAAGCACTGTGCACTTACAATTCTCTGTAAGAAGGAGAAAAACTCATTCACAATTACATAAAATTGACAGCAGGCAACTGATTATCAAGCAATGTAATTTTACACTGAACATTAAGCAGTGTAATTACTGAGCAAACTGATTAAAGTTAAAAATGGCAATCTATTTGACTTAAGTTTTTGAAGTCAGTTCCACAGAAATTACATACAGTACAATGCCTAATAAAGCCAAAGACAGATAAACAATATCCTATCAGCCTCAAGCAATGATCTCTGTGTGGTTTTGGCACTGTTCTCATAGGAAACATTTTTGCTCAATTGTTGCCCCTGACATTTACATCTCCTGTACCCGACACTTTTTGGTGTTACCACTAACTCTAGGTACCTTAACCTGAAATGTAACCAGGCCTGAGCTGTAAAAAGAGCTGACTGATACTCAGCACTGAGCCTCTGCTTTATGTCAGGTAACACCATTAGGGAGTACCCTTGCATTTCCAAGAACATAAAACATATTATTTATTTTACAACAGACTCACCTGCCAGCATATTACCAACATTACCTGCACAGTACTCAGACTAAAAAGGGAGGGTATTTTATACACAGATCTACTAACACTTTTCTCATCGCGGAAACTCCCAAGCTTCCAATATTGTCATGTGTTCTGGGGCTAGTTAACATTTTGTTTTTATAGCTGGCCCAGAAGCAACCGGGTAGTAAGAGCAACAGATTAATTTTAATGGACTTTCATAGCACTCACAGACACTTGTAGATATGTAATTTAATAAAAACCCAACAAACTCAAGACCCAGAGCATTGAAGTTACCGCTCTTCTGATTCCCCCAGCTTGTATTTGGCAAACAGTGGATTCACTTGTAGTATCAGAGCTGCAGTCAGATTCTCTACTTCAAGAGCTTAGCATACCCTACACACAAGAGAAGCACTGTATTTCTATTTTATCCTGTTTGCTATTAATGCTACATGAAGATTTTCATATTCACTTTTTAATGTCTCGGGTGAAAAAAAAGCTTCTTTAAATCTAACTGAACGTATTAAAAAAAACAGATTACAAAACCCAATACTCAAGACTGATGTAGTGGATAAATTAAGTAGTTCAATTACTTCGAACCCCAAACAACACCAAACGCTTCACATACCTGGCTTATTGTAGGGAGCTTAGTTAGAAGCATTTGAAACACTGGTGGTGGAAGAGTCTGCTGTAGAACTTGTAGTAGCTGCTGGGGCTGTCCACACACAGCAATGGCATTGGTCAAGTGATCAACACCTTTTTCATATTCACCTGTATGACAAATTATAATGTTTTGAAATCAACCTTCTTCCACACTGTAACACATTTACATAAAACACCCACCAACAGTGGATTAAACTCCTTGCTGGATCTTCCGAACACAAAAGGTTAGAAACAAGTAAACAGATTTCCTAGAGGAATTTGACTCCCCCAAATATCTTAGTATACAAAAATCATCTTCTAGCAAAGGTGAAGAAAAATTATTTTACAATTTACCCTTCAGAAAAAAAATAAAAAATGCTATCACCTTGAGCTAGCAGTTCCTCGCCAAGTTGAATCTCCTCAAGGAAAAACTTCTGAACCGCATCAGCATCTTTCAGATCAGGCAACTATGACACACAGAGTAAAAGTTAAGTTGGTCCTTAAACACCAAGTAATAAACAAGTTAGCAGAAAACATTCTCAACTGAAATCAAACATGTACACAACCACACTGTTACACTGACACTGGCAAAAAAATACGTGTCACCACTAAGTTAAATGTACACAGAATGTTTTTGAAAATCAGACTCAGGTCTCATATCATTGCATTGCAAATCTGTAGAGACAGAGCCTGAAATACCACTATTCACTTTATTAAGTACACAATTTTGTAGTAAATACAAGTTCTAAGGTGTGTTACGTTTATAACAACTATATTTCTTACAGTTGTTTAAGAAAAACCTTATCTTTTCTTCCTGGTGATAAGGAAAGGGAAATCAAATACTTATGGTAAAAAACCATATTACGCTCAGTTTTACATGTATCCCATCAATGATTTTAAGTCTGGAAAGTCCTTGTGCATACCACAAAGAGAAAACCACCACAAAAATCACACAGTGAATGTTGTACTTTCTAGTACAACTCCTCTGTCTGAAACAAAAAAGGAACAATCGTATTTGTGAGCATTAAAAAAACTAAAGACTGTATATTTGCAGAAGTATTTGTAATGCTGCAATCAAAAAAATCCAGCTGTAATGCTGGATTTAAATAAATCTTACAAATAACACAAATGAAACATCTTTCAAAATAGCACTGCATTATTGAACACATTATTACCTTGGAAAGCCCTGCTCTCTCTTTGGCAAGCTTCTGTTTCTTCCTTCCTGTAAGAATAAAAACATTTTACATTTTTAATTTGCAATTAAAAAGCCCTTCAGCTTACAGTTTGAAACCGTGAACAAATCAAAGTTATTTTCAGAATAAAAAACTGCTACTGTATTCCAAACATCGAAGACTGAACCCAAGACTGCAGCCCACTCTCTGCGACAGAACATCATTTAGAGGTCTAATGAGGGCTGGCAGTCGCACACCAACCCAAAATGGCAACTCTTCTCCTGCGGCTACGGCAAACACCAACCGTGCAGGGCCTGCAGCACACACACCTCGAGCACTAGAGGCACACAGAAGCAAGGAGAATTAGTCATACAGGAATTCTCTACAGGATTCCTAACAATAAGCCACACAAGAGCTGTCTACAAGTCAAAGCTATCTAGTTTTGAACTGTATGGTGGACCACCAACAGGGACTTCAGCAGGTCACAGCAGATACATGCAAGGTGCACTTTCCCAGCTGCTTTATAGCAAAGGCTTGGGAACCTTGGCAGTATCTCCTCATCCCACAGCAAGAGCAATACTGAGGGATACATTTCTGAAACCTGAGGAAAGCAAACCTCTAGAGATGGAACAAACATGGACAAATTTAATTGCCCAACCTACAGGCAAAAAAGCTGGTCTGCTACTAAAGTTGTACCACTCCAGCAAAACTATGGTAATTAAAATGATTGTGTGATAATTGTAATTAAAATGAAAGTGGCTTTTAAAGCAACTAGGCAGGTATAAAGGTATTTTTATAGTAGCAGCTATTCATACAAGAAAGAATAATTATACTAATACTGGTAATTTCCTTAGAATAATCATTCTTCTAAGTCTTCAGCTCATCAACTGAAATAGTTACACCAATAAAACTTCTAAATACAGCCTGTGGTTAAACTGTCCTCTCACCATTTGTTCTCGGTGCTCAGAGAACAACTGTATTTACAAAGAACAACTGTTACACAGCCCTGATTTTTCTTTTGAGACAATTTTACAAGCTGGAAATACTTCTAAATATGACTAGCAGTTTTAAATCGTAATTAAAAATTTTCAATTGTCCACATGATGAAGACACTTGGGAATGGTATTTCCTAGCAGAGTGATAACATAACACATAACATTTGTGGAAACGATCAATCGATCTTTATATAAAGGGAGTTCACATTCTAACTACATGGATCACCCTTTCTACCTTTTACAACACCTTAATAACCCTTAGCACCTGGATTTCTACAACTTATTGACCTGTGTACATTATTTTACAACATTATATACAGAAAAATGCGTTGTATAGAACTGTAGCGTACTACAATTTTATTATGGTTATTTTTGTTATTAAAGAATTTATCTTGAAAATCAGTGCTAATAAAACTAGCTAATAAAACTTTTCTGAAGCATTAATTTGCACAAAACTTGAAACTGCGCTACTATGTAAACAAGTTTTGCTAATACATAAAATCTTTAAGATTTAATTAAAACAGAAGTAATACTTAAATGTTTCATTATCAAAACAAGCCACATTGTAACTGTAGTGCATTCAGTGAAAACACCAAAAAGAAGTACAAAGAGTAAGACCTTAATATTGATATAACATTTTAAGGAGAAAATTGTGTTTTCTTGGCGTGACTATGACATCTTCTAAAATGTTATAAAAGGTATCATTCACCAGGTTAAGCATTCAGAGATAAAGAAATACAGGACATGCAGGTAACTGCAACTATTTAATAAAAGTTTTTGACCACTGATCACACACATTTGAAATCATGTACTTTAACCTGAAAATAGTAAAGGAATATGAAGAATCACCAAGATTTAGACACTGAACACTGATCTACTGAATCTTTCAAGTCTGATTACTGTGCAACTTTTCTTCTTCTTAATACTCTTCTACAGATCTCTTTAAAAAGTCCACTAGATAAATCAATTACAAAACCCAGATAACTCTGATGGATATTCAGGAATTCTTCCCATATTGTTTGGTAACACTGGTTTCAAAATATCTTTGTAACCAACAGCCAAAAGTTACATTTCTAATACCATAAGCAAAAAGCAATGACTTTGAGGGGGGGAAAAAAACAAATCTAAAAACCTCTCCAAGTTTGTTTTCCCTTAGGGACCTCCAAGAAAGCGAAACACTTCAGAGATAACCACATTAAAAATGGGAAGGGCAACGTTTTATAGAAGGAATCTTTATTAACATGGAAATGCAGTGTATCCACCCAAAACTGAAAGCTGAGCTGCAGCTCTTGAACTGCACAGGACCTGCAGGCCCTCCAGGCCAGCCCTTGTACACCGGGAGCGAGTTTCCAGCATGAACCAATGGATAACCTGTGCCACTGGCATGGGTTGCAAAAAGCCCCAGACAGCCCCAGCAGCTTCCCAAACAGTCCCACAAAGGAGCAGGAGGAACAAAAAGCTGTTTGCACTTTCGGCTCCCATCCGCACAGTCCCGCCTACTGCCCTCCTCTCGTGCCACTGTCCAGGCAGAAGGTGCAAAATTCAGCTTGGTCGGGAATTCCAGCTGTCTCTGAATGAGGAGATCAGTGACAGAACACTTTCTATTTTATTCATTCAAGAAGGCAAATAGTAAACACATCTAAATTCTTGTAATCTTAAAATATAGCTGGGGAACCCAAGCAGATGTTTATGGTTTTGCTATCTGTTGGTCCCAAGACTAAATATGGACATGCCCCCAAAGCAGCAACACCAAAACCTAAAAAAATCAGAACAAAAAACTCCACCCACAAAACTTGCTAAATAAAATTAAAACATCTGGAAAACCAAAGGGAAGTAGTTCCTCAAGCCTTCCAGAAACTTCCAGGAAATTTTTTCCCCCAAAACCTGAATCTAGCCACCTCATTTTTATGCTGGGCCTTTGCAACGTAAACTTTGGTCCTAACACAGCCCACAGGGATGTACAATGTAACTGCGAGGCCAAAACAAAATAGTTGTTCTTCATTTGCCAGCATGCACTTGACCAAATATGACAGGCAATCCACTGACTTGTCAGAACTCCTCTCCTTCCCAAATTCTGCTGACATTGCACCACAGAGGCTGAAAAACAATTTATCCTAAGAAGGTTAGTGAAAAAAACGTGCTGTAAAGGTGGTTTCTACAAGTTTTCCATCACATGTTCCCACTATTGCCCAACAAATGGAGCACCTTCATGTAAAGAACTGCAAGTGGCTGCTGCACTGGACCTTTTTGGCCAAATATTTTATAGCCCAAGCCTTACTGTCTACCCAACAGTAGAAATGCTGTAATAACCAGATCAGTGGCACCAGTGCTAGACCACCCATACTAAAGAATCTGTTACACTACTACAAAAATAAATTAACCCAAGTTCCTTAATATTAACTAAAGCCTTACAACTGAAAGCAGACAGTGCATCATGTGCAAGGACTGTAAGTCATACAATGATGTTCTCCAAATGACAACTGCCACCCTGCAGCAAAACACTATGGATGTGTTTCCCACTTCAAAGAACGTGACAATTCTTAACCAGAGTGTTTCTAAGGTTTATTCATAACATGACTGGATAGAGGCTCAGTTAATGAAAACCTGGACTGCAAGAATCTTATGTAATTCGGTATTTCTCCTACGATGCATTTGGCATCAAAGGAAAACCCCAGGGCTGATTAAACAGCTAAAAATCGAGTCTGCTTGAGCAAGACAAGCACATATCATTTTACTGTGCTAGAACTTCCCAATGAAGGACTTGCACTGCAGGGAAAAAAGTGCTCAAAAGACACACAAGAGGTATGTGCCTAAAATCCTACACACATGAGCAGGGGCCTGAAGATGAAATATTTGACAGACATGGCTGGCTGTGGAGGAGCTTTCAGAGAGCGGAATTAATTTGCTGTTAAACATCAACACAGGTCACTCAACAATTCAATCCATCAAGGCAGGACCAATGCTCTTTAGTTGCGTTTAAATGTTATCAGGTAAATATTCATTTTCAACCCATCTAGTTATTGACTTTTCCATCCATGGAACTGCTGATCACGTCATGTTTGCTTGCCAGGGAACTTCACTTTAATGGTAACTTCTTATCTTCAGAGTAGTTACCAAAGGAAATAGACATATTCCCACGACAGAAACAACTCAGCACAGCAAATATCAGCTTATTTCTCATGATTTGAGTCCCTTCACTGCCCATGCTTACAACTCCATTTAAAACCTCTCTAACTATTAAAACATTTAAAAAAATGTTGAAGACGTGAAATAATGAAGAGCCACAGGAGAAGAGCTCTACATTTTGGATTAATCAACAGTTTTCTCTGGCATTCATTCTTATCCTGGAAGCCAACAGCAGAGCTGCCAGGAGGGTTTAGAATGCAGCCGATTAAATACCTGAGAGCTGCCACCGACCCCTGTCTCACACAGCAACAACTTCACTGTAAGAGATCACTGTTTTATCTGCTCATCTTCCAAGAGTGAAAAAGAATAAGTGTCACCACATAAAAGTGGTGGCTATAATAGCACAGCTGAGCCTGTAGGAGAGCAATATGTGAAAAAAAAAAGGGGGGAGGGGAGGTAAATTATTTCCAAGCCAAGCATCTGAGACGGAAACTACAAGTTACCCAACACCTACAGCAAAGGACGACCCTGCCCAGAACTACCTGAAAGGAGGGGGTAGTGAGGCGGGGGCCGGCCTCTGCTACCGTGCCTGCAGTGAGAGGGCCAGAGGAAAAGGGACTAGGCTGAGACAGAGAACATTCAGATTAGATATTAGAAAAAAATATTTTCACTGTTCGGGTGGTCGGGCATTGGAATGGGTTGTCCAGGGAGCTGGTGGAGTTACCGTCCCTGGAGGTGTTCAGGAGACGTACGGATCTGGTGCGGGGTGATGCGGTTTAGTGGATTAAGGGTTACAGTGGGACCGCCGGGCGGATGGCTGGGCTGGATGGCCCTGAAGGTCTCTTCCAACCTTGGTGACACTGACTCTGTGCCCCGGCCCCTACCTTCGGTGCAGGGACAGCGAAACCC